GTTACTCTCACTAACAATGATGATAGTTGGAAAGCAAAGCCCCTGGTTTGGAATTAAAGCTCAACATTTCTCTACCCCTGGTTGAAGCCCAGAACCTGACACCCTCCCTCTCCCCAGCACTCCCAGACCTGCCATGTTGGCTTCCCTCAAGGCCTGTGTGGGCTGCACAGACACTGGGCTCTTCTCCAGTTGGAGATAAGCGGACACAATGTGCATTAGAGTGTCTGATGCTGGTGTCCTGGCATGGGATATGAGGGCAGTTGTGAGGACATGAACTCTTGGAATGATGAACTGGAACCCTCTCTGTAGGCAAAAGTGTAGTTGAGCCTAGATGTCCAAATTTTCAGCACAGGGATTGATACAGTATATGTCACACAAGGAAAAGGGATTTGGATTTCCAGGTCTCCACTTTGCAAATCCCAGTCTTCAGTGACTGGAGATGGTGAGCTCCTCAGTGTTGTTCCTTGTTTCTGTGAAAAGTCAATCCGTTTTAAATGTGGAAACGTGCTGCCACCCTATGGCTGTGCATGTCTGTCAGCAATGAAGGCTGCAGGGATCACACGGTGTTTATATATTGCTACCCTTTACTCCCCAGAAATGTTTTATAATAACTCTGTAATGGGAAGACTTTTGTGTAAGACTGTCTACAATATCAGATCATTACAATCCCTGTGCACCAAGGACAAGCAGTACAGTACAACTCTCAAATGCAAGACCAAGATGCATTTCTGCCCCCAGGGTGGGGTGGGGGGTGGGCACTGCTATTTTCAAAAGAAAAGGAAGAAGGATTCAGTGCCTTCTTTGCTTGTGAACTTCCTTTATTATTAACTTTTGATCTAGAAGTTGGTGGATCTGCTCCTGTCCTCCTCACTAGGCCTCAAAGGACTGGGAGTGGACACTGGCAGCAACATCCATTAATTCCTGTAGAGATTAGAAACAAGGAGTGTATCACCCTGCTTGCTCAAAAGCCTGTGGAGAGGAGACAGAGGAAGTCTAAAGGTTTTGGTGTTGGAAGGAACCTGCCTGCTCCTGTCCCTGTGACCTTGAGATCCACAGAAGTACAGAAGCAGCACAAAGGAGCTGAAAGAAAATATGCTTCTTTATTGAAAGGTAAGAGTTTAAATTTATCTGAGTTCAGTATATTAAATTATATTTCAGCTGCATTAGTATTTTTTCATAACCTATGTAATTCATAATTGAATTCCTACTAATCTGATGTTCTGTGACAAATCACACAACCTTGGCAGTGAGGTGAGACCTGCAGGGCCAGAAAGTGGTTCACAGTTAACTCTGAGGAGGCCTTTTCCTCCAGCCATTACTAAATTTGTACAAGCTGTAGCTTAGTGTTTATATATGCAAGTTAGCCAATAGATTATATTTTTTTCTTTTTTCTCCCTGAGAAAAATGATGCGACCAACTTTACCATATGGAAGCATTTCCACACTGCAAGTTATTCTGAGGAAAAAAAA